ATTGTAATGGCAAATCATTGCTGCTCACAGTTTACACAAGGAGTAACTTAAGATATAATAGTTGAATAAAATTGTACAAGCTTATATAGCAAAAGCTATGCCTAGCAAAAGAAGCATTTGGTATTTTCAGTACTTACTACCTAAAGCTAAATTCTAGATTACAAACCCTTCTAATTTCCTCTGCTTATCTCAATAGTGACAATTATCATAGGTTTTTAAAACTTCCTGGATCTATAATAGATACTGAAGATTATAATAGAGAGGATATGTGTTTTTAAGGGGCTGTTAGGACAAAAATGGCAAAAAAGTTATAACAGGAATAAAGTACATTTGCAACAGAAAGGATAGTGAGCTCTTTCTAACTACAGTTACTAGAGAAGCTAATAAATATAACAGCATTATGGGATGTTGTATTATCTCTAATTTGTCTTCAGCTGACTCACGGTGCTTATTAATAGCTTGGAGAGATAAACATGTTGTTAATTTTATACTCCAGTTATAAAATGACATCTTTTCAAATTAAAAGTCAAAAAGAAAGGCAGGTTTAAACTCAGAATAAAATTAAAAGAGTCATTTGGGTTTTATTTTCTACTTTTCTTTATAAAATAATACATATGAATCACCCGTATTTTTAATAACAAAAATTTTTTACTATATTAACACAAATGTTTTCTGGCAAGCAAGTGCTGAATTGATGAATATAGTTTCCTTTCTAGGTCTAATTAAATATATACATATTTTTTCCACTCTCTAAAGCATACTAACATGTAATAAGCACCTATGAACAAATATCAGGGAAGAATTCTTTCCTATTTTAAGGATTCATGCAGCAACACAAGATTCATCAAACATAAAATTCTTGATATAATTTATCAACCTGCATGATTCGAGTTTTTAGAATGCTATAGCTATTCTAAACCTGCATGGAAATTTCATTTGGTAATGAATATTTAGGTTGGAAATGACAGAATCCCAGCATAAACTAACTTGAACAAATGGAAGAACTAACAAAATGATGTAACCTAATGGCAGGAGGTCAGGAAAAGGTAGTTTCCAAGGACACCAGGATCATAGGTTTGAAATATCTTTAAAATTCTACCTTCATTCTTTGTGTGTGTCAGCATTATTTTCAAGACTGTCTGTCACAACAAGAGTCTAAATGTAACCAATGACATTCCCTGGACTCACTTTACCTAGTTTCACCACCTTAAAGGAAGAGATCATCTTTCTTTTGTCCTTTGTAAAATATCCATAGACAAGACTCTGGACCAGCTTGGGCCATGCATCCACACTCTTGGGTAGTATGGTAGGTACACTGGTGATGATAATTTGAGCCCTCATTTGAGCTACATGGTCAGAGATAAAGAGGACAGCCATTCACCAAAAGAGCATGATGACAAGAGAAGAGAAGTATCAGAGGGAAAAATTAACTGCCTACTGCCAGATTTTGTTGATATATTTCACCAGGCAAGAATACTAAGAGTCTTTTTTTTTTTTTTTTTGTCATTGTTCAGTTGCTATGTCATGTTCAACTCTTTGCAACCCCATGATGCTGTGAAAGATTGAGGACGGGTGGAGAAGAGGGCAACAGAGAATGAGATGATTGGATAGCATCACCGCCTCTATGGACATGAGTTTGAGCAAACTCTGGGAGATAGTGAAGGACAGGGAAGACTGGCATGCTTTTAATTCATCTTATTTATAAACCCTCCATGACTGGATTCCATGGCATCTAAGGTTACTTTAGATGCCTAGGGTTACCAATGCATCGTTTAAATGCAACAGCATATTAAAAAGCAGAGACATTACTTTGCCAACAAAGGTCTGTCTAGTCAAAGCTATGGTTTTTCTATTAGTCATATATGGATGTGAGAGTCAGATTATAAAGAAAGCTGAGTGCTGAAGAATTGATGTTTTTGAACTGTGGTGTTGGAGAAGACTCTTGAGAGCCCCTTGGACTGTAAGAAGATCCAATCAGTCAATCCTAAAGGAAATCAGTCCTAAAAATTCATTGGAAGGACTGATGCTGAAGCTGAAACTCCAATACTTTGGCCACCTCATGCGAAGAGCTGACTCATTAGAAAAGACCCTGATGCTGGGAAAGATTGAAGGCAGGAGGAGAAGGGGATGACAGAAGATGAGATGGTTAGATGGCATCACTGACTTGATGGACATGAGTTTGAGCAATCTCCAGGAGTTGGTGATGGACAGGGAAGTCTCACGTGCTGCAGTCCATGGTGTCACAAAGAATCAGACACGATTGAGTGACTAAACTGAGCTGACCAAGGCATTAAACTGAATGAAATCTGTCTCTCAGCTCACAGTCTTTAACTCCTTCCTGCCTTACCTCCCCTTCCCATTCCTAATTGGTTATTCTGGCCTACTTCTTTCACACTGACTTTCACACATTCACGCTTTCTTACTAAGACTAAATATTTCACAGCGCCCATTTTATAATAAGGTTGAAATGCTGGCTTTTTTCATCTGCATTATATTTTTATGGGCTCGCTATAAGTAAGGAAGAATAACTCATACATTAATTAGCTTTCTGTGTGTGATTTTATTAAAAGCACTTGCTAGCTAAAAGACCTCACTTTGACTGTAGCTCTCTTTTTGATAAAAACTTGAGTGAAGCTAAAATTCATTTGAAACAGCAAATTCAAATTTGCATATAGTTGTGAATCCCAAATGCTGAAACTATTGGAAATAAAACAAATTTATTAAAAAAAACCAAATGCTTAGAAATGGTAGGAACATATGGTTAGAATCTCAAGTTAATGACCTTGGCATACATAAGTGCTACCCTGGAGTTTTCTGGAGCCCTCAGTTCATGAAGCCTTTTACAGTGCTGTGGAAACTAGATTTTACTCTGAGTGAGATGGAAGCCTCAATAGAGGTAGAAGTAGATGGAGATAGGTCTTCATTGGCCTGGAGTCTCCATAACTATAATGAGTGGAGTCTCTTTTTGACATGTAGCATGAACAAGAAATAAATTTTGTCAAAATTGCTGAAATTTTTAGGTTTTCTGTTGTTATATTGTTACAGTATGACTTTGCCTACAGAAATAGATGATAGTACCTGAATGAGGATAGTTCTTAAAGACAGTGAGAAAGGTCCTCTATGTCAAAGGTAAAATTTACAGGATTTAACAATGGATTGAGCAAGAGAAATAAAGGAGTCACTGGTGACTAGAGAGATTTGGGCTGAAGCAGAAAAAAATGTCACAATAATTTCCTGACAAGAGGAAAAGAGAGTGCAGGGAACACTAGGGTATGTGTACATGAAGATTTATTTTTTATAAACCATATTAATTTGGACATGTGCAACAGATATTTAAATGGAGATATGGAATAGGAAAGTGGATAGGTGAGTGTGGAACTGAGGGAGATATAAGAGCTGGAGACATACATTTGAGACTCATTATCCTAAAGATAATATTAAAACCATGGAATTGTATGAGGTCACATGAGAAGTGAGTACAGAGAAAGCGACATAGGAATGAGCCCTGGGTTGCTTCCACTTTTCGATGCCAGAAAGAAAGGAAGGAAACCAGCAAAAATAGACCTAGAAGGAGTGACCAGAATGTTAAAAGGAGAAAATACTGTCTCCTTTTAAGAGGCTGAGTGAAGGAAGAGGGATCAGCCATTAAATGCTCTTGAGAACTGAGGATTCACATCTGGATGTGGCAATGTGGAGGTCAGCAGTGCCCTTAACGAGAATTGTGTGAGTTCAGAGGCCTACATACAGTGAGTACATGCGAGACTGGAAGAAGAGTGTGGACAACCCATAACAAGTTTAGTTTCTAAAGGGGATTTGAGAAATGGGACAATAATCTGAGACAAATTGCTGTCAACAACAGGAAGTGCATTTTAATGTATAAGAGATGTTATAGCACATTAAAGGCTGCTGGGAATGACCGGTAGAAATCAAAATGAATTTGCAGAGCAAAGAATTGCTGGAGAAACATTCCTGAGCTAGCAGACCAAAATAGCTTATTGTGCAGAAGTGCAAAAGTTGTTCTTGTATGAACATTTTACTGTATTGTATTGTATTGTGTTGCATTGCATTGTATTCAGCCAAGAAGGCAGGAGCTGTTAAGGAGATGGATGAAGTACGTTAGTGGATTCCATGGCCAGAGTTCATGGAATCTCTCTTCCAATTTTTATTTTCTAAGGGAACTAGGAAACAAGATGTTCAGCTGATAGAGAAAAAGGGTGAAAGGGTGAAGAATGATTGAAAAGGGGACAAAAACTTGGAAATAGTAGCCTCAGAAAGAAGAGAGCGAACTCTTAGGCTTCCATTCCTAAAAAGGTAACAGAATCACTTGGCAGCACCATTTCAAAAGATTCAGTATTTACTTGAAAAATGTCCACTGAACCACTGGATGTGAGGCATAATAGAGCAATAATAGGTAATATAAATTTCTAATAATATAAATATAGTGAATATACCTATTTTTAGGAAGAAGAGGGCCCAAGTATTTCATCTATTCTTTTAATAGACATATTTCACATGTTCAATGCCCTTTTGTGTTTTTTTTTGTTTTGTTTTCTCAGCCCTTTGATTTGTGTAACTTGAGTATGTACCCAACTCTACATCAGCACAGTGTCATTCAGGATAATTATTTTTATCTGCCTCTGATTCTGAGGTATTTTAGCAATGGCCTTTTCATTTGTTCATCTTTTTGACTTTTTGTTCTATGATAACATAGCTAACAGGACTATGATTGACTTACATAATTGCTACTTTTTTCTCCTAAAACTGAAATTGCTTCAAGGGGAAAAACATTTCTTTTGATTACAGAAGTATTATATATGCTCTGCCATGTCTTCTTCATAAGTAACAGGCAAACTTCTTAAAACATAATCACAATTCATGTTTTCCAGCTTGAAAACTCTTGCTGTTTTTAATTTTGAAACAATACAATCTTATGAGTCTCCTTAAATTTAACATAATTATTCTCCTTGTAAGATTAACCTCCACAAATCACAGAGACATACCCATTCTCTTGCTTGAAAACCTGGAATGTTAGACTTCATTGACTGAAAAGACTTCCTATATTATCTTGAACATCCCATAGCATCTTCTTTTAATTTCAACCATTGAGTCCCAACCCTCAGGGGTAGTAAAGAGTAAGTACACCTAAATAGGAGAGCATATTAAAGTTATAAACATGGTGACATCCACTCTGGTTTCTTGTTTCCATATTAAATGCCTACATTACCAAAGTAGTCCATTCAGAATATAATCTGGTTTATTTTTTTAAAATCTTTTCTAAAATTAAAGACCTTATCCAAAGAAGGTTCTAATAATACAAGGTACAGTGGAAAGATTTCACTCTTTACTCTAGACCGCAATATTCTGATTGATGAAATCTGCCATTTCATTTGCTTTTGGGGGACTACATTACATTACATTAGTCTGTTTTGAGTTGTTTTGTAAAACACTTAAGTATTTTCTTCATGGATGGTAGCTAAAAAATTTCTTTATACTATTCTGTAAATAAATTAAAAAATAAAATAAAATGATCCATCTTTCCAGTAGCTAGAAATAGCTTCTTGAAGGGAATTCTTACGTCGTTGGGTTTTTTCCTCACGTAGTAACTATTCCATTTCATTGTGGTGTTATTATCCTAATTTAGCTTTGATGGAATCAACATCATCCTTCCACTCTCAGTCCAAATATCTTGGACAAGTTATTTAATTGTTCTGATTAAGGGATAGGACCTATGGTCTAAGCTAAAATAATCAGATTATTCCTTCACTCTCATTACAAGGGTTAGCTCAGGAACAAATCTGTAAGGACCAATATGACTCAATTCAGGTTTTCTATTTGAGCGCTCAGGAGGCCAATCTACTATTTTTCTCATAGGACATGAATAGGAGAGGATGCAGGGCAGGCCATATCTGATATGGCCAATTTGCAACCACATGGGCCAATGTTAAGGAAACAGTCTAAAAATGAAGAGGGATAAACCTCATCCTAATGATATCATTTGACCTCTAAGTCAAGATGAACTCAAAGACACTTCACTCTGAAACTGTATTTGCAAAAACCAGTAAATTCTCTATTTCAGAGGGTCTGCCATTTGTGAAAGTAAGTATCTCTAGTGATAAACCACTGTTAAAATTTTATGAGTTCCAGTCTCTTGACTGTTTAAAAATATGATAAGTGCATCTAGGTCAAATGCCTTATTATATAAGCCTGTGGCATCCCTGTTCTAAATCTCTAACAGGTACCAACATATTAAAAGAGACACAATTTCTCTACTTACACTCAGTGTGAGCTCTTATATTTGCCCTACTGTGATAGTGCCCACAAACCCTTATAAATGTCTATCTGCCTCTTTTCTAAGGTCTTTAAGAAGAAGTACCGTGTCTTTTGGGGCTTCCTGGGTGGCTCAGTGGTAAAGAAATTGCTTGCCAATGCAGGATGCATGGGTTCTATCCCTGGGTCAGGAAGACCCCTTGGAGGAGGCCATGGCAACCTACTTCAATATTCTTGCCTGGGAAATCTCCTGGTAAGAGAAACTTGATGGGCTACAGTCCATAGGGTCGCAAAGAGTCAGATACGACTGAGCACGCACACACCACATCTTTTATATTGCTATGTCTGCAATATTTAGCAAATTTCCCTTGCAGATATTATGCACTGATTAAATATTTGTTGAGTGAAAGAAGGAAAGAAGACATAATTTCTACAAGAAAAAGGAATCAGACTTACATCTTCTTTATTTCCTCCTTTCTTAATGCCTATCTGCAATATGATCTCAAGAGAATTAGGATTAAAAAAAAAAGAAGAGGAAGAAGAAAGAAAGACAAGTAAAAGACACTAAGGCAATCTACAATCTACAATCTACAATCAGCATTTCCTAGAGCTGGAAAAGATGTCAAGTGGTTAAAGACAGTGAGCTTTATCTGGTGAACTTCTTAGTGCCTTTACTCCATTACTAACTAGTAAGCCCAGCCAAGACACTCAACTGCTCCAACCCTGCATTCACCTTTCTATAAAACAGGTTTTATAATACCTACCTCAAGAGTTGTAAGGATTAAATGAGAGCACAGTGAATAAATTTAACTGTCATTACTATCATTTTAAAGTGTCTTGATAAAAATAATTCATATTGGCTGTGCTCAGTCACTTCAGTCATGTCCAACTCTGTGATCCTATGGACATTAGCCAGCCAGGCTCCTCCATCCATGGAATTCTCCAGACAAGAAAATTGGAGTGGGTTGCCATGCCCTCCTCCAGAGGATCTTTCCGACCCAGGGATCAAACCCGCATTTCTTACATCTGTATCGGCAGGCGGGTTCTTTACCACTAGTGCCATCTGGGAAGCCCTTTATATACAGTATGTATCTGTTAATCCCAAACTCCTAATTTATTCCTTACAGGATTATTATTCAGAGTACTCTGTCTTCCATTGCTTTTTTCGTTAATGTGACCTGATCATTCATGAGAACACTTGTGATGGGCAAGATCCTAAGAGGGTCTCCAAGATTTCCTGCTTCCTTGGTGTTCAGGCCTTGCGTAGTCCCTCACTTGGTATATATAGTAAATTTCCTACCATGGTTATGTTATATGGCACATGCATGTATGTCTAGTTGCTCAATTGTGATACCATGGACTGTAGCCTGCAGATTCCTCTGTCTATGGGATTGTCCCGGCAAGATTACTGGAGTGGGTTGCCATTTGCTACTCTAGGGGATCTTCCCCACCCAAGGATCAAACCCACATCTCCTGTGGCTCCAGCATTGGAGATTAATTCTTTACCACTGAGCTACCTGGAAAGCCCTCATGATGGCCCAGCTTACTAAATTATTTTGAATATCTGCTTTTGGAATTCCAAGAGAGATGGAATTGAGTGAGATATCATTTTGAAATGTTTTAAGCTTTACTTTCACTGAAAGAAAAATCTTATAGAATTTTAGGATGTATGATACAAAAAAAATTACTGGGCATTTTGCATCTATATGCTAAAATCACAAGGGAAACTCAGGCTATATAATTTTCCAATAAACTGGCCAAAATCATACCATATTAAAAAAAAAAAAAACTCTTTCTAACATTTCACTTCCTGTCCCACTCTGTATAATCTCATTAAAATTTAATTTATGGTGCTTGGAAGAGAAAATGTTTTAAATTTTTTTGCTTGTTTCTTGTTTCTTCAGAAAATACCTTATTCTGAATATAAACTGCAATCAAAATAATTTATGTAATATGGGTACAGGAAATACTTAAATATCATGATGTGGATGCATACAGGGAAGAAAAATAGTCTACTTATTCATTCTTTTTCCTATGTGTTTCAATCCTTCTTGTTGAAAACACTTCACAGATCAGAATATAACTCCCTCATACTCAAGTTTAGGGTTGATTTTATTTCTGTCTTCATTGAGAGGGTAGTCTGGATTCTTCATAAGAAACATTAAAAAGATTTAAAAATAGTCTTTTTGTATACTAGTTTACTTTTCCTAGGCCTGAATAAAATTTATCCTGAATAATTTTTAATATGAGCTTTTCCCTTTCTGAGTTTTAAAAATTTATTTTAAAATTCTTTTTTTTAAAGTGAAACTCCTTTGTGTCCTTTCCGCTTTGAGCCCAGGCACACTTTTGTTCTGTTCAAACGAAAGCGAGAACCTGGGGGATTATCTCAGAGATCCCACAGCATGTCATGACGTTAAATCCCTCTGAAGTATTTCAGCTTCTATCCGGCTAATCCAGATGTGATATAAGAGGCAATCTAGGATCATCAGAGGTAACAAGTCAGCTGACTTTTCAGTACAAAACTTTTCAGTACAAAACTCATCCTCAAAAGAATGAGCAACTATTGTCTTACATGATTTCTGTGATTACAAAACACTGGAAAATAGATTCTCTTGACCTCAAAGCAATTCAAGCATTGTAAATGTTTTTTAATATAGTCAAGCTGCTATCATCTGAACTCAGACTTGCACCCTAATCTATTTGGGAATGAAAAACTTACTTAAAAGTAATCTACTGTTGCCCTACAATTTTGCAGCAACCTGAAATCAAGGCTTGGAATTACTAATTAGATGAGGTCCTATTTATACCAGAGTCCCAATTATTTACTCGTCTCAACAGTTTTTAAAATAAGTTCATCTAGAACATTCAGTTCAGTTCAGTTGCTCAGTCATGTCCGACTCTTTGCAACCCCATGAACCATAGCACGCCAGGCCTCCCTGTCCATCACCAACTCCCGGAGTCCACCCAGACCCATGTCCATTGAGTCGGTGATGCCATCCAACCATCTCATCCTCTGTCATCCCTTCCTCTGCCTGCCCTCAATCTTTCCCAGCATCAGGGTCTTTTCAAATGAGTCAGCTCTTTGCATCAGGTGGCAAAGTATTGGAGTTTCAGCTTCAACATCAGTCCTTCCAATGAACACCCAGGACTGATCTCCTTTAGGATGGACTGGTTGGCTCTCCTTGCAGTTTAATATAATTGTTCCAATATCACTCCTAAGTGTGTGAAGTATCTGTATAATTGATATTAACTGATAAATTGCCACAGAATACATAGAACCCTAAAAAAATTTATTCTAGATTTCAAATTGTCTAACAAATAATGACAAGCTGATGGATTTGTCAAATCTTGCCCAAGTGGGCATGTACAACATATAAAATTCAAATACAACATAACTCTCTACATTCAAGTGCTTTTCAAATATAAAAAAGATGGAGTGAACATAAAAGTTATAATCTTCTCAAAATACTACTTTGGAAAATAGAAGGTTGCTCTTTTAAACTGAAACTTAACAGTGAACACATATGAAAGATACCATATATTATCTTGCCAACTACATCTACACACAAAAAATTATTTTTAATTACAAATAAATATATTGTCACAGTCTGTAAATTATTTTGAGCTCTGGTAGGTAGAAAAATATATTAGAAAGGTTTCTTAAAATAAAAGATGATAGCCTATGTTTGGGAGGCATAGTTTTTAATGCTATGTTTAAAGTTACAAGGCTCTATAAAGTATTTTCTACAGTTTCTCAATGACAAAGGAAGATCCTCGATGGAGAAATCAAATAGCTAAAGGTTTTAGTTTGTTCAGAATTTAATAGCATCTGCCTTATGGGGCTTCCCTTGGTGGCTCATATGGTAAAGTGTCTGCCTGCAATGTGGTAGACCTGGGTTCTATCCCTGGGTCGGGAAGATACCCTGAAGAAGGAAATGTCAACCCACTTCAGTAGTCTTGCCTGGAAAATTCCATGGATGGAGGAGCCTAGTAGGCTACAGTCCATGGGGAAGCAAAGAGTCAGACACGACTGAGCAACTTCACTTTCTTTCTTTCCTTCCTTCTTATACAGTAACTGAAAATATTTTATGGAAATAGATATAATTTTTCATTTAAACAGCACAAGCTGGATTAATCAGATCTAGTTAACTTATTACCACAAAGGCATTTTAATGTAAGTTCTAATGGAGTAATATAATTGATTTTTTAAATGTATTTATTTTTAATTGAAGGATAATTGTTTTATAGTATTATGTTGGTTTCTACCAAACATCAACATCAATCAGCCATATGTCTACCCATGTCCCCTCCCACTTGAAATGAATGATTTTTTTTTTTGTCATCCAGTTTCATTTATTTGAATTTTATATAGCATAAATATGTTATAGATAGATACAACATATTTAGTATATTGTGTAACATTTCCTCAATCTTGCATGCTAAGTTGCTTTAGTTGTGTCTCACTCTTTGAGACTCCATGGACTGTAGCCCACCAGACTTCTCTGTTCATGGGATTCTCTAGCAAAAATACTGGAGTGGGTTGCTATTCCCTCCTCCAGGGGATCTTTCTGATCCAGAGACGGAACCCACATCTCCTGCATTGCAGGTGGATTCTTTATATACATTGCTGTATTTCACAAACTTACCTTTTGGAAATCAGTAAGCATCAAGGACACAGACACATATTTTCTAAAACCGAGTCTTTCAATTCAGAATGCATTACTATTGGAGTTTTAGTTTTACCACAACAGCCTCCTAATCTTATATTGTATATCTTGCAAATGTATACCTTCCTTCCTAAGGCAATCTAGATGAATGCTTCATAATTTGAAAATATCAACTTTTTACTACTGGAGGTCTGTGGTGCTATCTCTAAAAAAGGCAGATTTTTTTCTTACCTATGAGTTTATCAAACAATTAATTCTAAATTATCTATCTCTTATGTTTTCAGTTATACCTCATCCCTTTAAGCATCAGTCTCTCACAAATCTGTTTATCAGGCACTAAATTCACCCCCCAAAGCAAAATTGAAGAATCTTTACTCCTTATACAGCCACACACATGCATATAAAAGAAAGAAACTCACTACTTTCTTCCCATTTTTGGATCTCCATTCCAATCTGGATTTATCCTT